ATAGATAGATAGATAGATAGATAGATAGATAGATAGATAGATAGATAGATAGATAGATAGATAGATAGATTGATTGATTGATTTTTTTTTTAATTTTTACTGTGCATACTAAGTTATCCGCCGTTCACGAGCCGCCGCTAAACACCCCAGAAGAAGCTTCGTCCACGCGTGATTTCTTAACATTTGGGTTGCCAGATTTAGAGATAACAAGATATGGAGAAAAATACGTGAAGGAAAATTCACGTATTTGACGCTAGAGACTGCTAATTTGTCTTTTGAGTGAGTTCGCCATGAACTGACGGTGTATAAATAACACTGAAATGAACTGAACTGAAATGATAACATGCTAACTTAAAAATGCAACGTCTGGCTTTACTTAGAGAAGTCCAAATGAATTTATTCTAAACCAAAAGATGCCATGCAAGTAATGAAAGCGCCACACCTTGACTTCCATGGCACTTGACTCTAGTTTCTGAAGGTAAGTGTCTGACAAATGGACAGAGAATACTAAACTGGAATTTTTTAAACATTCCAGATAGTTGTGAGGTATTTATTTATTTGTTTATTTATTTGAGTATTGAGTAAAGAATAAATACATTAGAAAAATAGTAAGTTAAAAAATCCTTTAGTTTTTCTCCACAGATCTTCTTGTCTTGATGCATGTTCGATCATTCAGGTAAGAAAATCTAAGAAAGTTGAGTCTGTTCACCCGGATGCATGCATTCTCAGTGGGAGAAACCTTTCATTCCAAGATACTTTTTCAGTTTCTTGGTGTCTCCCACTGATTTCCAGATGAGCAGAATCAACTTTCGGGCATACCTTCTCACCTTCCTCTTTTGGGTATTCCTTTTAGAGATCCCGACAGTGGATCATCGGTCTCTCACCTTATCCACATCCTCCTCTAGCACATTGACAAATTTGCATGTCCTCCTTCATCACATCCAAGAACCTCCTATTACTCTTTTCCCCCTGCCTGGCACCTCAGTATTCAACAATATTCAACATCCTTTGTCCAAAATGTCCTCTGCACATGCCTAAACAATCTCAGCTTCGCTATCTTTATCTCCAAATGCTCAACCTGAGCTGTCCCTCTGAGGTATTCTTTTTCTAATAATGTTCATCATGGTCACTCTACAGTGCTATAGTGTCCAAACCATACATAATGGCAGCTCTCACTACTATATTTTAAACCTTCCCTTTCACACTTGCTCCTTTTGTGTCACAAATCACCACAGGACCCACCCGCCCCCCCTCCACCCAGCCTGCCTGCACTTTCTTCTTCACTGCTTTTGTGCACCATCCATCGGGATGGATGGTTGACTCCAGGTAGATTTGGAATCATTATTCAAAATCAGAATATTTTATTAGTTCTAGATGAAATTATGTGGTCACAGTTGCTCCAAGACAATACGAATAGTAGTGACCAGGTTAAAGTACCAATATTAAATATTACAAAATATTACAAAATAGCTCTAATAATCCAGATAGTTCTAATAAATAAATATCCTGATATATTACAGAGAATTGAAAGTTGGACTTAAGGTGACCCTTTTATACATTTATAACGGGTTTTTGTCTCTGTAGAAGATGAACAGATATCAGGTTTGTGCAACATATGCAGTGTATGCTTGTGCTTTTAGATGGAATATTGTTGCACATTAAAACTTTTTTTTAAAATATATTTATAGACGATGTCAAGATCTAGTTGAAATAAGATAGTTATGGGGGATTGGTTAATTGTGATCATAAACAAATCAAGGTTCAGTAATACTTACATGTTGTATTATTTTTAACTCAGTATAACAGAAAACAATTTAATTACAGCGTAAAAAAAGGATACCTCAGAA